AAGCCGTGTACGTTCATCACAGATTACTCATTATCCTGTGAGCACTATTCATGTCTCGGTTTTGAGTTACAAACTGCACAATGCTCCCTGCGCTCCTCTGGGAACCCAGAAGGCCTTGGATCATGTTCACCGGGTTTCTTTACTGGCACAGCCCAAGAAAGCCAGCGCAGATTTAACCACATGTGAAGCAAATCTCCCGCTTTGTTGCTCTCTTTCTCTTTTTAAGCCAGTCCCTGTTGTTTGTGTGACAGATGTGTGTCCTTGGGTTGCGCAAGGGCTCAACTGCAGGTTTTGTTTTCTACATGCAAAACAGCAAACTAACCCTGGACTTACATGACAACTCTGTAAATTCTTATTATATTTAAATGCATATTAAAGAATCAAGTTATGAATTTTAGATTATTAGAAACAGAGATGAACACAAAGTCCCTTCCTGGTGCTCTCCATGAAATCTGGTTCCAATACATTGCTTCCTATGAAGGCAGGAAATAGTCGTCATTTCTGCATGCAATTAACAAAGAAGCAGTGTGAGCGCTGACCTGCGAGCGGCTTCTTGAGATCAGGAGCTTTCGCTGCAACACTCTGAAGGGGCAAGGTAGGGGAAGAGGGGCACGGAGGGAGTGTGTAAGGGCACAAAAGTTGAGACCGGGCTGTGGAGGATGTGTGCACAGGCGTGAAAGAGGGAGTGCTTCCATGGCACACACCCAGCAGGCAGCTCAGAAGACAAGAAAAGAGAGCAGACGCTGGTAGAGAGTGTTGGGCAAGCTGCTGGAGGGGCTGAGGATCGAGCTACTTCATCCACAGCTGAAACACGTCCTCCTCTGTCCTGGCCTCGGGTGATGTCTCTCTGTGTTCTAGTGAGGCTGCAGCTCAGTTACTGCTGCTGGAGCACAACACCCATTTATCTTTGCTGCTCTTGAGATCTCCTTTAATGTCTGGTGAAGTTTTGCTTTCTGCAAAAACAGGACATTCATTATCTTCACCACATTATCTGAGGTGAATTCAGGTCCACCAGCAAGCAGGAGTGCATTTAAAGCAGTATTCACTTCTATTTTTTTGGCAACTTGAGGGCAACAGATTAAACTAAAACCCTGACATATATATTTTACTTTGACAGAGTTGATATGGTTTGTGTTTTAGCAAACCTAGCCTGGAATTTATTTGGAGTTATGCTCAAACAGTCTCTTTCCACTTGTTTTGGTCTATACCAGCTCCTGGGAAATCTTTTCAGCCTTTTACGTTCTCCTGTAAATTTGACTAGCTACGTAGACGTGTGGACAAGTTTTAGAGGAATACCACCAAAACGGGGGAAATGATCTTGGACATTTGAGCTCCTAGCAGTGAGTGCACTGAAGAGGTAACAGAACCTAAATACGTAGGGACAGTAACTGATTAAAAACTTTAACGGAAACTAAAACAGGTGTGATTTAAAGGATGGAATTAAGCTTAATGAGGAAGCTTCAACAGTTTGGAGCAGATAGACTGGTTCTTTATGGCGTTCATTTGTGGAGAGTGTTCTAACTTTCTGTTTTATTGCTTGCTATTTTTCACTGTCTGTAGTTAATAAGACCTAACTCAATAAGATGGTTAACAAGTCTAGCAACACTGCTTTGTGAGTCCGGAGTGGTGAGGAAAGGGCAATGATGTATCGCACCTTCTGTTTGGTTGTCACTGTCAGTACAGCTGTGTTAAATCAATCAGGGCAATGAGGTGTGCGTCACTTGCATCATGTTGTCTTGATTGCCGGTGATGCTGTTAAATGTCTGTAATGTTTTTTTTCTGTTGTGGTTGAATTTATCTGACAGCAACAACTCTGTAAAGACGGTTTATCAAAGTCTTTTTCTTGTGACACTGAAGCAAAACAAGGAGCTGAGGTCCGTAAAAGCAAAACAAACCTAAAATTCTCAAAGGAGCTGAGGTTTACAGGTGAGTTAAGAATGGTCTAGGGATTCATAAGCAATCAAATTATGCTTCTGACCTCTTATTAATATAAAATCAAATGGAAAATCAGACTTTTGGACAGCCATGTCTCACTGTAATCATAAGAACGTCTCCCCTGCTGTATTTCTGACGGTATTCTATCATAAAGACTGTAACTGTGGCAATAACATTTGATTCAACAAATTTTTCGTGGATATATCATGATGTAGTTTTTGTAAAACAAAAAACTCCCAGCCATTTTACAGCCTTTCTCCTCTGTGAGCTTGCCAAACCAACTCTATCTTCAACAGCCTTGGCTCCCCAGTGAAAAAGCATAAACACAGGGAGGAAAACTGTGCCAAAGAGCTGCAGCGGTGAGCAGGCAAGGACAGCCTCGTGTTTGTTTACATACTTCTACCTCCATGCAGAGGACAGCAGCAGCAGGGGAAAGCCACGGGAACTTCCTATTTTAGGAAACAACAGCTTTAAAGCAACACATTCTGGAAAATCATCGGGGGTGGTGGGAGAACGAGTAGTCTTTTATTTTAATTTAAGAGTCTGTGAGTAAAGCAGAGACAGAGCGGTACACAGCCACATCTAAAGCACCTTTTCCAAATGCTACTTCGATCATAAAAACGCTCATCTTACCAACACATTTTTCCTCTTCAGAGTCGTGACAGCACAGGTTATATTATAACATCTGGAAATGCTGTGATGTGGTGCGCTTTGGACAAACGCTGGGTGGGCCACCAGAAGAACCAGCGAGATGTGAGCGCTGATACATGATATTAATGAACTGAGACTGATCTCAGGAGGGGAGACGTCCAAGTCATTGCAAAAGTAAGCTGAGCTCTTGAATCTGCATGTCTGATCAGTGATATTTAACAGCTGCACGTCTGCAGTTGCTTCAAAAGCTGCCTACTAAAACCCTCTCTAATCCTTGATTAGGCAGATAAGAGAATATTAATAGCGAGCATGTTGCTTTTGTTGCTGTTTGCTTTCTAAGCTGTGGGCAAATTTTTGTTATTTTAAATTATTTATATTTAATTTTCATATTTGATTAGAGCACAGAAAAGCGGCAGACCTAAACTGCTGTTCTCAAAAAGGATTAAAATAGTTTTTCAACATATCCTCCTAACTAGAGACACAACGTCTAGACCACGAGTCAGACACGAGGGATGTTTGACGCATTGGAAAAGACGAGCCTTTAGATTTAAAATATCAATATACATTAGCTAGGAAGCTGCGGAGCGCTTGGACCTTTGGCCGCAGACTGGAATGTGATTACTTGCATGCTGCGTATAATCACGGAGGTCTGCATGTCTGCGGCCAAACCCACTGTCAATTTGTAAGTATCTAAGTTTTCCAATGTAGGAATGCAGAACTTAAACACTGTTGATGAGGATCCTGTAAATTTGGTTTAAAAAAAATTCTGGCCAAAAATAGAACTGCTGGGTTCAGTCATACATGCAGAAACTGATATACTCATGATGAACTCATACAAGTCATTTACATGTTCGGGAATAGTTTGGAATCAATTCAGTATATTTGCTGTGATAAACATGCACTGGAGTGATCAGAAACTGCAAGAACTATAGTTATTGGATTCTGAACTCTGTCTCTTTTCGCTATGTTTTCAGAATAGTGACGCTTTTATCGATGAAGTATTATAGCCAACTTTAAACGAACCATGAAGACTTAAGACTGAAATGTTTCCCACTTAGACGGCTGAAGGTTTGCCCGCTAACCACCTTCGTTCTTCTCAGTGTGAGTGTCGTTGCATTAGTGCCCTCCATTATTAGACTCTAAGATTTGTCTCAAACATTCTGACCCAGAAACTCTGTAAAATCTTTTTTTCCCCCCTGGTTGTGTCCTGTCTGCTCTATAGAACAGAGAGAAGCTCAAAAGCTGATGCTGCAACACTTTAACCCACAACAAAAGAGCCTAGACCTGGAAGACCTAACATCTGCCTGTCCCTTCTGGCTGGGATGATGTCAGGTAATCTGTCAGCGTGACGGTTTGCAACCAATTACTGACTCCATCCAACGTTCCATGCTGCTTGAGTTATATTGTGTTTATCCAAGGGAAGTTTTGACGACACAAGTATGTCTAAACACCATCGAGTTTACAGGCAACAACTGTGAGAACGCCGAGGTCTTCACTCGGGAGGAAGACTTGGTGTCTGGAAGCTCAGAGCAGAAAGTCACAGCCGCTTCTGTCACCACGGCAGCCTTTTCTGCAGATGCTGAATTTTTTTGCCTGTAACCAAACCTGAAACCAGATCTACACTGTCTCAGAGCCCCTTGTCACTGCGCCCTGGCAGGACACAGTTACCCCACTTGCTGACCCCCGGTGACCCCTGCCTGTCAGAGGAGCGAAGCCCCGAGCAGTGAGGCTGCTGAGTCCGGGTGCAGTATCTCATTACCTTCAGAAGTGAGCTATAGGGGCGAGCAGCGGGACCTGCACCAGGGAGGCAGGATTAATTGATGGGATATTTTATAGGACTTGACCTACACGGCAGCCAGCTTTGTGTTTGTGTTTCAAAGCTTGGCTCACGCAGTATAACAAACCTCGTACTGTGTGACTTTATGAACCGGGCATAACCTCAGATCTTACTGCAGGTCTGATCTTAAAAGAACTCTGTCTTAAGAGAATAAAACCTTTTTTCTCTTTTCTTTGAATGCCTCAATATTCACTTAATTTGTCCAAACACAGTGGCAAGCACGGGTCTGTTTGTGCCCTACCTGCCCAGAAATATCCTGAGGATTACACTGAGCCAGCTAAAGACTTGGCTTAAACGCAAGAGATTGACAGTTAATAGTGGGTTCTTATTCTGAGAGCACTCATTCATGAGTTAAAGCTCTCCACCCAAAGAGGAAGGACATAAATCTACAAAGAACTCAGCAGATTTATCCCCAAAGCAGACAGGCTTAAATTATGAATGTGTATACAGTAGGAGTCTGTCAGACTTTATAAAGGGCCTCACTCAGATCCTATACGTGACTGAATGCTTCATACATCTCGTCCCAAATCCCTCCACAAACTCAGAGCGGCTGTGGCTGTGCAGAGCTGTTACTCACTTCAAAGTGCTGGGGACGGCTCGGCTGGGACAGGACGAAGTACTGGACGGCCAGGTTGATGTAGGCGGTGCGGTAGGAGCTGATCTTCTGGTGACCCTGCACCAGTTTGTACAGCTCCAGGCACATCAGGCCCGCCACGGCCGCCGTGGTGGTGGCGATGGCGGGAATGATCCGTCCGGCAATGAGCTTGCTCTGGAAAGAAGAAAGTTTGCTTTTAAATCTTCCTGCAGGTCATGTAGAGTTGAGCAAGTGGATATTTAAATTCAATGGTATTTTCAGTGAACTTCAGTGCGATCTACAAGCATATAGAGTTGTTTTATAGGATTCAAGTGATGGTAAGGAACTAGTATTTTAATTCCAGTCTACGTTATACCATTTACTATTTCAACTCCAATACACTGTTGTTACTACACTGTTATTTTAGCTACTAATGACTTTAAATTTCACACACTTAGGACCAACTTGTAAAATATGATGCATTATTATTGATAAAACTTCTCAACAGAATATCAAGTAGGACATGATATTATTAGTTGGAGAAGTGGATAATTCTTTAGCCACTTTCTAAGCAACAATATTTGTTTTTTCTCAAATTTGGGGATTTTATGCATTTCATTTTCACACATCATATTACACTGAATATATTTGCATTTTAAAGTGTTGATCAGACAAACAAACGGTGGGAAATAATAACAGGTATTTTTCAGCATTTAAAAAATAATCAGAACAGTAATTGTTAGTTAAAGCCCTAAATATTAAATTACCTTTAAGCAGCACAACACAAAAGGCTGCGTGTACTGCATTTATTATAATATATGAAACCGATGGGGCTTAATCAGAGCTTTCACTTTGTGTTATGATTTTGACTTTCACTTATAGTAGAACATTTTTCAGAGTCCTTTTACTGAAACGATCAGAAAAATGTTTCTAAGATGTAAAATGTTTTATAAAAATCTAAAGTTTAGAGGTTTTTGGGTTTTTTTTTTATATGTCGTTTTGGCAGTTTTACAGGAGTTCTGTGTGACGTACTGCACTTAAACAATGAGAACCCTTTATACAGGATTGTGCATACATCTACCAATAACCTGGAAACAAATCCATATAAATATTGAGACCCATATGTAACCTCGTCCTCATGGATATACTGTCTGTTCCGAATCCATAAGCAAACAGGGGTTAAATGGTGACTAACGGCGAAGTTATTCTCCAGCGAGATGCAACACGTGGAAACGTCTGCATGATTACACCAGGGGCAAGTCTCTTTTGTCTGTCCTCACTCAGCGCCGTCCCTCCCCCCACCCTCCATCTGTCTGGGCTGTATGCAGCAGCGGCCGGTACAAGGCCTGGCTCAGGTGTCACCTCCCAGGCGACAGGTAAAGTGCTGTGATTAGTTCTGCTCCGGGAACAATAGGCGAGGAGGCTGTTTCTGTGGCTTCGGGGCAGGTGTGCGCTGTGCAGACTAAAAACAGGACCCCAGGGGAGGGGAGAGTGGTCTGCGGTTCTATAATTTTTTAAAACTCTACACCGAACCCCCCCCCAACTTAGATTTTCCTGCACGAGATTTGATGAACACAGTATAAAGTGTTGACCTTGTGGCGATCGGCTGCAGGGATGTCGTAGTTCTCCGCTCTCAGGTTGGAAGCAGCGACGATGTAGTCCATGTGGAAGTTAGTGTCGTCATCCTGTGTTATTTGGGACATTAAAGATGTATTCAAATCAAACGCTACACAGATTAATACACAGGAGCAACACAAAATGCAATATATGTGCGTAACGTTATAGGATTAACTACTCAGATCCAATCTAATGCCAAGCGACATCGCCTGTGACGTGATGCCGTTTTCCCTCTTTGAGCTTTGCCTGCTTTGTTGCCGTGTCACTTAAATCACTCTGATAGATGACTTGGTCACCCGGCCAGAATGCGGTGGAAATCAGATTTCTGTTGTGATCGACGTGGCCAGTGAGGTCATGCCTGCGATAGCGCGGCTCCACAAAAGCTCGGGAGGTGACTGCCACTCCGGGATGGCTTTAGGGCCTGCGAGGAAGCTCCGAGCTGGCAACCTGATGCCTTTGATATCCTCCTACACACATTCCATCCGTCCACAGCATGACCAGGGCATATTCGGATAAACGCGAAGAGAATGGCGTTTGGAAATTTCGTTCTTATTCAAGATGACATTGGATATGTACCGGACTTACCTCATACACCTTCATTACTGCTTCTCCTGAGTTCTGAAGCCTTTGTTAGAAGCTTATTCCGGCTGCCTTTTAAAGTCATTTTCCCGGTCACCGAATTCCTCTTATAACCACTTCTGCAGCTCAGTAACTGCATCCTTTCTGGCCTGCTAATGTAACGCAGTGGTCGCCATGGTACAGCCAATTACCCTTTAGCCACTGCTTCTTATAACCGCTTCCATATTAGGGGCTTTAAAGAGCCTTTGTTGCCCTCAACCTCCATGCAGCTACAGAAAAAGTCTTGTTTAGAGGTGACAAATGTAGTCTAACAGTCCAATGTTTCCCAGGAAACCTCGGAGCACACTTAAGAGTCAGAAGGTCAACAGGTTACAGACGGATTTCTCTAAAGGCTTTAATTTAGTTCCACAATTACGAGAGAAGTTAGTAGAAAACACTTTGCATTTACTGCTGTATTCACGTAATGCTGCCACTGATGATATTTTGTTAGCTCAAGGAATATATTTTACTATCATGGTTGTGTGGTATCTACAGTTGAGCTGTTGGATCTACAGTCGTGACTCGATAATCCGACATTAAATGTAAAACCTTCTTTTATGTCGGATAGCAAGGCTGTCGGATTATCAAGATGGAGGTCGAGACACAAGGAGGGCTTGATGCTGGAAGGCTCATTTGTTGTTAATATTCATTGTTTATAGTTGTTATAATAACTAGTAGGGCTGGTCCCAATACCACTCTCTGCTCTCTGGATATTCAGGCCCAATTAATGATGAATATCCGAATATTCGGCGCAGTCGGGGGACACTTCCACCCCGGGGGAGCGCTCAGATGGGGTGGAAGTGGCCGGAACACACAGGCAGTACTTGGCTGCTGATGCTAGTTTAGTTAGCGCTCACACTTCTGTTTCCACCATCGGTGGCGGCGGGGGAGTGGCAGATACGCTCCACCATTACCATCCATGTTTACTTCCATAAACACTGAGCACGCTCACTGAATGTGACGTCGTCGAGTCCTCTTCTGCGCATGCGGGACACTTCTGGGTCGTATGAAGTTCACACAGCAGATCACATACAAGTCGCATTTAACTGGAAATGTGAAGGAACTCGCAAAAAAATCGTATTTCACAAAAATATCTGAATGTAGCATTAAGTCCTGCAGTGTGAACGTAGCCAATCTGTGGGATTGTTCAGTCAGATAATACGCCGTTATCCTGATTGGTGACATAAAATATCATGTCGAAATCGGAATCCAAGGCTGTCGGTATGTTAAGGCTGTTTTTCATGGGTTCCATTCTTTTCACCTAAAAACCTTCGCATAGCAAGGTTTAGGATTGTTAAGGGTCAGAGTATTGAGTCACGACTGTATATGCAGTTCTCCACTTATTCTGTGCACAATATACGACTACAACTTTCTAAGAATAATTTTTTCACAGCTGTTCATTGACTTATTTTCCTGGGTGTTGTAATTACCTTCTTAGCCATGTGTTCAAAATGATTTTGACAAATGAAGCTCTAAAATAATTCTCAAACTTGACACAAGATCTACCCCTTTGTCTAGACAGAATCAACCTGCTGAACCCAGCTGCTAAGAAATGCCAACGGTGCTGCAAAGGAGATTTGGTCCATTTCTAAACTCACTGCGCATACGTCATATTACAGAATCCCTCCTGGTTGCAGACAAACTTTTTATAAGCGATTGGGCGTTTAAAGCTTTCCCCAATAGTGGCATGATGACAAGAAATGAGGGAGAGAGATGCAACAAATTGAATTTGGCTGACCGCGAGGAAATATCTGGTTAGGATATTATTTGGGAATTTCTTTAGAAATGAGGGAGTACATCTAGTCTACACTCCCAGATAGATAAGAAAAACTTTTACGAACCTTTAAGATGCCAGCCAGGTGGTAATATGCTAACCCTGATTTAATACCCAGATAAGTTGTTGAGACAGCATCAGAAAGAACGAGCAGGGGCTGTGACAGTAGCTGGAAGCACAGTGGATGTGCTTTAAAGAGGACCTCCAGGGCTCAAAGTGTGCTACTTCAAAGACTGGCACGGTGGCAGCCAGGACGCCTCTGTATGAAGCTGCTGACTACATTGCATTTCACCATAAGTGTGCTAATGCAGATAGAAATATATCTGCTTCATGTGAGGTGACTGAACTGTTCTTTATGCTATTTCGAAAAACTGGAAAATACAGAACCAGACTCTGAGGAACAGAACACAAGCGAGCTCTGTCTTATAAATGTGCTGCTTAGATTCAGGTCACTGACGACCCAAACACGGGGGGGAAAAAACAAGCCACGTTCTGAAAGCACCTATAGATTGGAGTGTTGCTCCCTGCTAAGACTCAGTCGCCACTTTGTCACTGTCTGCAGCTTCTGCAGAGCGTGCAGCGGAGGTGTCATTGTGCTCTTGTCCTACCTTCTCAAAGTCGACGGGGTGCAGCTGAGTTGAGCTTTTCAGAGAGGATACGGCCAACTTTCCTTTCAAATCCTCCAGTCGGGCTTTTTCTGTGTGACAAAGAGACAGTGAAGACGAGCCGTGCTGTCAGAAAGTGAAATAGCACGACCTACTCACCGGCATCGTCGCTGCCCTTCTTTTTCTCCTCCTCCATCTCCTCGTCTGTGACGTGAATCTTCACGGAGGACTTGGGGGTGAAAGGTGGCACATGGACTTGCTCTAGGATGGTTCTGATAGAGGTGCGGTCTCTGGTCCCGCTGATGCCGTAGATGTGTCCGTACAGGTTGGCTGCGGCCACCACGTAGTCCAGGTGTGTGGCCTGAAACACAGCATCCAAATATATTAAACTACATTAACCTTGTAAAATAAATGTGGTTGATTTAATATTGATCCAAAGTTCTTAGAGCAGTCATGCCAGCAGGGAGAAAGTATAGAAAGAAGATTATTAAAAAAAAAAAGGGAGGGGGGGCAGAACAATATTAAGGTAGAGCATTAAGGCCAAAGTACTTTCCTGAACTCTGAGTAGGCAGCTGGAAAAATAGCTCACTGAAGCACACACACACACTGTATATTGTGGCAGTCACTGTTGCTTTTTGCAGTCTAATTCCACGACTATACTTCTGTGCAACAGAGTAAAACGCAGCTTTCAATTGCAACTCAGATCGGTAGACTCACAGACAGCATTGAGACTTCTGAGTAAAACCACGAAGCGTCATCTGAAACCACGACAATATGTACTTGAACTGCAATTTTCCCGTGGATGGATTTTATTAATTAGCTGTGTTATTATCCAACCACATGTCTACATCTGATTTCCCAAATGCTTCCCTTAAAAGCTTCAAAAGACAAAATTACCTTTCACAAAAATGGAAAGGAAATGCTGAAAGGGGAGAGAGGGGAACAAAACAGAGTTTCAAGATGTTCTTTGAGTGATGACGGACCATTAGGAACTGTCAGTTTTGCTGCCTGTGCACCATTAGACTCTCAGATTTACACGACTGCGAGCTCAGTGCTACCCTGATGTCTCTGTCATTACTCGGTGTAAGAGGAGAAAATTGCCATCAAAGATTGAATGTGTGCAGAGAGCAGATGGTTATCAGTCTTTCATTGTCCATATGCATCTGCAGCTTAGATAAGAATCCATTATATGGTCAGAGTGAGGAAGAGCCGCTATCAGAGCAGATAAAGGAGGAATGTGAGTAACCATCACAAAATACTTTCGCATTTTTCTGTCATTCCCATCTACTGGCTGTATGTCAGGATTGTATCGGAACCAGATACTACTCACTTTGTTGGCATCAAAGGTCAGTGGGTGAGGGCATCTCTTGGATCCAGACCAGAAGGGGAGACCAGTAGTGGTTACCTGGAGAGAGGGGCAATAGAAAATTCCTTGATCACAATTATGCCATTATTAAAGTCATTAAAAGAACTTATTGTCCGTTTATATTCTCGTTTAAACTGGCACAGGTCACATAGCTCAGTGTAATAAACCTGTGACAGCCACCGTGAGAGCTTCACCACAAGAGGCCAATGTTATATTCTAACTGTAAATTCAGCCACATAGTTACCCCAGTGCATCAGTGATTTCCTGATCAAACCTCATTGGGTCCTTCAGTCTTCCCGTGGCACAGCCAGACTAATGTTGTTATCAGCTGTGTGTTGACTACACAATTTGTATGTCTGATAACGGAACAAAGGGCCCGAGAGCTTTGATGTTGCCAAATGGTCCATATGTTGAGAAAGAGAGAGTCTCGTACTGCTGGTGCCAGTTTTCACTGCAGGGGGGCTTTCTATAGCAGCCAAAAGGCATCGGCAGCAGTCCTCTATTCAGAATGAGGCTTCAGATGGTTCAGGGGCAGAACGGAGCAATGACGTGTCTTTAAAAAGAAGAAAAAGAACGCTTCATTTAAGAACGTATTTGGTGCTTTTTCTGGCCATCCGAGGGCCTTTCCTTAGTTACACATAAATGCACTTTGTGAAATCCAAACTTTATTTATTCATTTTATGTCCTCACTGTTTTGTACCTATCTTCTATGCCGCCTGTTGTGCAGGCCGTCATTGTAAATGTGAACGGGTTGTCACTTGACCTACCTGCTTAAATAAAGGTTAAATAAATAAAATAAATAAATACCAAATTTGAATTACAATGAAATACTTATATGCAAGCAACATCTAGCTGTTCTAGATTACAAACTATAATACAGTCACCTCAAACCACATTTTGTTTTATTATCTGCTGTGACTTTGTGTAATTTTATTTCCACCTATATGTGATTTTGGGAAAAAAAAAAGAAAAAAAAAAGAGTGGGGTTTTTATTTCATAATCAATCAAACATTTAGTCTATAAAAATTTCAGAAATCCTGATTTAAGCAAAATTAATACAAATTAACCCCAGATTTGATCTAAAAGGAATCTATTTGGTCTCACGATTAAAATAAAACAAAACAAAACAAAACAACCCCCCCTTTTTTTTTAATAATTAGAAATAAGAAAAGAAAAAAAACCCTCACGATGTTAATTAAGTGACAATTCTGTCACACAGCCTTCAATAACTTAAATGATTAACCAGTGATTTACATATTTCTTTGATTGACTGACTGTATATGAAGAGTTCATTTGCAAAAACAGATAACTCCATCGTCACAAACCTTCAGAAACTTTTCCATCGTCTACCTGAGACAACATCAATCAAACTTCAGTTATCTCTACTTTTATCATTTCTACTGAGTCAAATCCACTCAGCTTAAGTTCGATTGATATTTTCTCAAGCAAACGACAAAAAACAAAGTTTTCTGAAAATCTACAAAAATGGAGTTATCTGTTTTTGCAAATAAACACTTTATATTTACAGGTTTCAGTTCTTTACTTTAGTCCGAATTATAACACAAAGTTTGCCTCTATAATCTGACGTCCTTTAAATCTCTAATTTCATCCGTGTCATTTACTGACTCGTCACTTCTTGTACTTGCAGACTAGAGCTTTGGATAAAGATGCTGCCACTTTGTATTTGGTTTAAAATCCAGTGAAAAATCCACTTTATAATGACTTTTAACACACATTCAGCATGAAGGTTGACAACCAGGACAGTGGCTGTTTTGCTAAACGTGTGGTCAACTGTGGCCGTTGTGTACTGGTATTTGTCAGCTCAGTTTGTGACCGTTCAGTGACATAAACAGGCTTATCATAGTTCCTCAGAAAGTCTGTGGTTAAAACTGACTTTCCAACAGAACAATGAAACTTTACCGCTTGCACAGATAACTAGAACAAAACCAACCACGGAAGAAAAAAAGGGAACCAAACTTACAACGGCGGTGCCACAGACTTTCAGTATCGTGTGTTGTGACTACGACAAAAATGCTCTAATATTAAAAAATAACAGCAGCACCAAACACTGCACAGAGGATGGACTTCGATCAATGTTCAAGACGTGGAGGGAAACGTTTTGCTAGGCGGCAGATTCACAACCCTGCAGGCCGGTTACTGGACTGGCTCTGGGGTTAGCGAGGGTGTGTCTGGGTTGACACTGATCCGTGCCCCCCCAGGTGTGACGGCAACATGTGACATCACTCCGTCTGCATGCTTCAACAGACTGCAAGCCCTCAGAGCCCCTCAGAGATATTCATCAGCAGGGGCTTTGAGTGATTCGGGTTACAGACGAGGTTAATAGCGGTCTCTGAGCCTGGGGAAATAAGCTGCAGTGGTGAAATGTGTAAAAATGCACCACTAAATGGCATTTCTTTTATGCAAATACCTCACTGCAGCGTTTATTAGACTGGTATGCAAAGACCTCAGATACACAACAGTGCCCCTTTGTGTCCATAAAAGATAATTACACAGTTATGATATTTGGCTTTAGGGAGACATTAGAGGGAGAGTTTTCCTTTTACCTCGTCAGAAGGGAAACAGTGCAGAAGCTGACGGATATCGTTGTTATAGAGAGTCTCCCACTTGCGACGTGCCCAGCTCACACAGTCCTCCCATCGCTTTGGACGCTGTCCTCCAGACTCCATGTCCTCCAGGCTGCTCCAAACCCCTCCGAGAATGTCCAGGGCCTCAGCGTCTCCGTGGCCGAGAGTCCGCTCTACAAACGCCGAATCTCTGCCGGAAGCAGTGCAGCAAGTACTTTAGAGGATAATAATCACTGGCAGAGAGACAACAGAATAAATAAAGGTGTAATATGTGCTATGCATTCTATAATTAGCAGATCAAAAGCTTTGATTTGCTATTTGTGACAGTGCTTGGCAGACATTTCAACTGTGGAAACAACATTTGACCTGGAAAGCAGAAATCAGGAAGTTCCTACGTGGAAAAAAAAATAAAAAATTGCCGCTCGTATCAAGCACACAAGAGACCGGCTAAAAACATTCTTGTCTGTTGGAGAATAGTCCTGGTAGTGACTCAAGAGGGGAATTTCTTTGACTCTTGGCTTTGGACTTTTAGGGAGGGAAGTGTTTAGTAAGCTTGTAATGTACTGGTCAGAGCAACTCGAAACTAAAAAGTTCTTGTGCCACTGACCTGCGCCAGCTCAGCGTACACCAGCCTGGAAAATAAAAAGAAAAAGGGGATGCGCCTCCTCTGCACGCATTTACCGCTGCACATGTCTGAACAGGAACATTTAAAGCATAGTTCTGCTTCGACAATGACGCAATAAAACCTGACTGTTCCTTTCCACAACCCTGTTCACGCTGAATTAAAATGTGCTGGACTATGACACGTAGCTGAGCAGTTCCATGACAGCAACCGCAAAAGTTTTCTGTATTTCCAAACACATGATTTCCTAACATCAGCGTAAGAAGAGAAACCTTAATGGCTCCGTTAAACTGGCATTTCTGATCTAGTCCCGTTTTTTTTTGCTTCTCTGTACAAGACAAGTGTATCAGTGCAATGAGTGGGGATTATGTCAAATCTCAGCAAAACAAACAGAGACATTTTAAAACACGTCTGGATTAGGAGGGCTCCGAGACTCAAAGCTCAGACACGGTGAGGGCCTCCAAGCTCAAATCCGTCCCTGATGATCTCTCATTACATTATAATTTGGTCAGTGTTTCATGGTAAGCACATTTTTGCATAAAATAACAAAGTCCAGTCCTCAGAAATTATTCAAATCTTACAATTATAAACCAAAAAAAGCCCTTTGAATGTACTTTTTTTGGCAATAATTATACATTTTTCATTTCTTTACTTGTTTTCAAACCAGATAAGCCCTAATTAGCAGAGAGAATGCATCTATTATTAGTAGAAAACAGCGTTGGAGCTGCTGTGAATGATACATTACACAGAACAGACTGTTTATGTAATTTTTACGAGGCGTTCGCTGCTACAAGCCAACCACATGTTTTCCTGTTTATAAAGCAAAATAATGAGCTTCAGCCACTTCATTAGCGTTTGTAGGCTCGCTGGAATGCTTTGGAAGAGAGTGGAAAAGAATTGTAAAATGAGAAAGTTAAGTGACAACAGATTTGCACCAGAGCGGCGAAAACAGTTCCCCGGGTTGGTGGAGCCAAAACGTGTGATGGAGGTGAAGGCGGATCACATGAGGATGGCGTCGTCTTACCTCAAGAAGAGATTCACGTTTTCAGGCGTTTGTTTGAACAGTCCTTCAAACTGGTCTCTGGCCCACTGAAACAATTAAAATGCCAAGAATTGCGTAGCTTCAATAAAAAAAGAGACTTTTTATGCAGTACAAGCAAATACTGAACAACCAGAAGAAGACAAACCTCTGGACCACCGTGGAATCTAACAGAACAGAAACACATATGTCATTTTAACTCAGGGATCTCCAACTCCGATCCCAGTGAGCTACTGTCCTGCAGGTTTTAGACGTTTCCGTACGGCAACACACCTGACTCACATTAATGGATCATTAACAGACTTGTGTAGAACTTGACAACAAGCTGTTGGAGATCCATTCATGTGAGTCAGGTGTGTTGCAGTAACGTCTAAAACCTGCAGGACAGTAGCTCATGAGGACCAGAGTTGAAGATCTGGACACTGTGGAGCTGTGGAACAAAATTGGTTATTATTAAAGGCTGTATCTCAATAACTATTGGATGGATTATCATGAAACTTGGTACAAACACGGAGGATGAATCCTACTGACTTTAGCGACACCCGGACATCAAGTACATAAAGTGAAAGTGTTGGCAGTGAAACGTCTTTACAACAGTTGGATGAAACTCCAGAGGGTCACCAAAATGGCTGAGAAGGTCATTGGGTGCCTTCTACCCACAGTGAAGGACCTTCACGGCTCTTTCTGCCTCAGGAGAGCCAACACCATCCTGAAGGACTCTGCCCACGCGGGACGTTTCCTGCTCGAGCTACTGCCATCAGGCAGATGGTACAGGGCCATCAAACCTGGACTCGTAGACTGTAGAACAGTTTTTTTTCCAACTGCTGTCAGAGCCATAAATCTTTTATATTGTATGTAGTTGTTTACAAAGTTCTTTATAAAGATACAGTTTTTTGCACTGAAAGGACTGCACCTTACTTTTCGTTGTACTCGTTGCCATGACAATAAAACAAATCTGAATCTGAAATACCATGAATTTTGATCCAGAACAGAACAGTCCCATCAGCCTCGGATGTATTTTGTATCTTGTGCTAATTAGCAAATTTTGGCAAAGTGAAAAGTGAACAGATGGATAGGAAAAACTATATCTGTTAAACATCAGCATTCTGCGTTTTAGCTTTCTGTGTAGCTGAGATTTATGCATCACGAACAGAATGAAATTGATCCCCTGAAATACTGAACATTTTAAACATTTATTTATGTTAAGCAGCTGCAGGGACCTTTGGATGTTATTCAGTGGGAAATTATTATCATGCATTTATTATATAACTCACACAAGCTGACGGTTTTGTACCTGCAGCGTGTGCTCGATTCGGTGAGGGAAGTTCTTGAGAGTGCACAGTGGGATGGCGTTACTGGAGCTCGATTTGGCCGGTCCATAGGACTCCGTCAGGTGAGGCACCACCACCAGAGTGTGACCCTTGCTTCCAAGAGTTCCTCCCTCAAGCATCGGCTTGTGGTGCTGAACGCAGCGTCCATCGAGGTAGACCCCTGGGAAGCAAAAATAGGAATTTCATACTTAAAACTGCACTTTGATGATCACCTACAGGTAAATATGTGCTGTGAATTCTGCAGCAATAAGGTGAGAATAAAGCGTCCTCACTGGCTTCCACATTATCGAGAGCTGCAGCCACCCCATCGAGACCCATGAAGAAGTTGTAATCGTACACTCCTTCACTGTCGGGGTCCAGACGGTTCTGATGAGCGGTGATTTTCACCTGTGGGTTCATCTCACACACTGCTTTGGCTGCAACTTCCGATTTAGGTTTCTGTTTACAGACAAGTGAGCAAATGGGCGATGTGTCTGGGAGATAATGTGTGTGAGCAAATCGGACAAAACAAGATGAAAGATGAAGAAAGTGTTAATTCATTCACTATCAAAATATAGATTTTTATTGGACCTTTATGTGAAGACACTAAATTCAGAGCATCTCACTCGTCTCTATTGTATAACAGCAGACTCAGCATTGCAGCTGAGTATTTGTTGTCAACATACCCTCTAGCTGCACTTCACCGAGTTACATAAGTTGTTTAGGCACTGCTGGTTGTTTACTCAGGAATGAGAGATCAACACTGATACACTCCCAAAATAAACTACAAGGCAAAACAATCACAAGTGATGTAACCAGGCGGTTATGTGTAATCTGACACGAGCTTTCCCAGACTGTCAGGATACCTTCACCTGCCCATTAGTAAAGTCCTTTCACCACTCCACTTCACCAGGTCCAACTATGGTTCTGCAGAACTGTTTGCTGCAGAGATAATAATACGTTGTGTTTTCTCACCCCAATATCCTGAGACCTGAACAGGAACTGGCGGTTCAGGTTGGATCTTTCTATGAAGTCCATGTCTGTAATGGTGATGCGTCCCGTTTCTCCAGCACCAAGGCCGATAAGGGCAAAGTTTTTAAGAAGCTCGCAGCCAATAGCACCGGCTCCAACCTTGAAAATGACAAGAGGCACTTTGTATATTAGATAATGCAACTTGAGTAAATGTCATCAACATAAAGCTGTTTCAGAAAACTATTCATCTATTGTTAACACATCTTTTCACTCTCTGATGCATCGTGTGCAGTTTGCAGCGCGATAAAAGAAACACACATGCTGTCTCCCAGCCGGTAAACAACAGCAAAGAATAACACTGTTGAAGGAAACAGAGAACGGGCTTGGCACTGTTAAACGGCCCCTATTTCCAAGAGGTCAGCGCTGCCAGGAAATGCCACCTGAATCGCAGCCGTTTCCTGCATGTGCCATCATTAACACCAGACAAGATCAAAGGAAAACACAGATGGAGTTCCTGCGTTCCCGGGCAGAGTGTGCCCTCTGTTGGACAAACATCAGATCTGTCCTCACCAGGAAGTAGTTCAGCCTCTCCAGCTTCTCCTGGAACGCCGACCCAAACACAGCAAGCTGTCCGTCGTACCTTGAGGCTTTCTATCAGAGAGAAAACCGACAGCAGGTACATCGCATGTTGTTCATATCAGACTGTTTGTTTGGTAGTATGTGAACGATTTAATAAATGAAGAGAATCTTTAAACACACTGCTGAGAACGAGCTTTCTTCTGGTCGATCCTTCTCTTCGGGGAGGCACTCCAGAGCGTCGAAATACAGCCACTGCTGAAGAGGTTTAAATTTCCCACTACATGCCTGCAGGAAGACCACAGAACAACACAGCTGAGCTAAATCCTCCAACCAGTGTGAGGGTATTTTGTGACAGCAATGCTTGATCCAAATGATGTTTCAGGTGCTGACTCTGGCCTTCACCTTGATAACCTCCTGAGCAGCCAGACCTCCGATGAAAGCGTTCATAGGAGCCAAGTCACCCCGAGCTGTGTAGGACAGGCTTCGCACCGCAGCCTCATCCAGGTTTGTCAGCTGTGCCACTTTATTCAGCTCTCTCACTGTGGCAAGCAGGGAATCTGCATCCGACTGTGTAAATGATCACATAGAGTTGAGAAGTGACAACCCAGTAAACTGCTGCACTGATTGCAGGACACATACGAATCAACAGACCTGAGACCAGGAGCGAGGGAGCTGCTGCTCTTTCTTCACGAAGCTATGGAGGGCCTGGAAAGCCAAGTGCAGGGTCTGATGGCGTGATATTTTTCCAAAGTCGTTCATTGTCAGCAGCTGGTGGTCCTGTAGAGCCTCGGTCAGCGGTTTCTGCAGTGGATGTTGTAGTTATTTCATCTGTAGCGGTTACACTTTTCCCAAAGCTAAAGTTAGAACAACATACTTACAAAATGTACGCGGCAGGACTGTTTTACTTCGGTCACCACTCCTCCCCGTTTATACTCAGAAAAGGCCGAAGTGTCACCGATGCTGAAGGAGTACGAGCCTGGTGAGACAGTAGTGAAGAAGAACTCTATTCATAGCTGTTAAACTCTACCGTGGTGCTCCTCAGAGGTTGAAATTGTCATGAAAAGAATTCCACATGGAGGGCAGGAGCGTTTATTGCAATTCTCAGCAATCGAGGAAATAAAATGTAAAAGACAAAGTAAAGCAACTCACTGAGGAATTTGATCTCCACGGGGCCGATGCTGTTGAGCTCCGTCATGCCTTGGACTTCGGAAAAGACAACTTTAGAGCCGTCTTCGAGTCCATGCTTCTGGTCATCCGCACAGACCACCACTCCAGGATTGTCCTAAAACAAAGACAGCCTTCAGATCTGAAAGAAATATTCTAATATAATGTTCACCATTTTGTTCAGGAAGTGTAGATGGTAGTAAAAACGATCAGCGTTCGCTCTAGTGTATGCTTAGGTTTCCTCAAATGACAACTCTGACTTAGATGAAAGTGTGAAAATTTGCCAAAACAACGGTAAGCTGGATAAAAACGGTTTAAATATTCTGTGGATGGATTGGTTAAAGATTCTCCTAATAGGTCAATAACATAAGAAGACGTTACCTTGGAGATGTGTTGCACCATCACTGATACAGGCGTCTCTCCATCCTGGTCCAACACCTCAAACTCCTCCCCAAAGTCACAGAACAACTGACTGCAAAGGAACCACAGTGTTTTCACTTCCTGTGTTCTTACTTAATTTTATTTAAGGGATTTTTGTTTCACCCACTTACCCACAGAGTCCTTTGGTGTCTGCCACAATGAACTTGATCCCCTGTGAATGGCAGAGGTCACCGAAACGCTTCTGATCATCCAGCGAGGAGTCGGTGAGGACCACCACCTGGATAAACGACAGCGAGCCTCCTCTCAGGGAAGTGTTTGGCTTGTTGTGTGTGCAATAATCTCATCCTTCATGGATATTAACATAAAGTCCTTCTGCGTCATTCGGACAAACTATGTTGTACCTGGAATTTCTGAAGCAGGTCCTCGTCCAGCGGTCCAGTGTGGGCCGACACGAGCACATGTGGGTTTAAGGCGGACAGCTGCTGCAGGCAACACGTCGCTCGATTCTGACCAAGATGGGATTCCTTCAGGAAAAACTGGTGGAGAAAGTGAAACTACAGGTTGATGAGGGCCACCTACTTGTTGTTGTATCACACAGTCTGAAGCTGGTGTTGCTCATGAAACAGTCAAGGTTCACATCATCCATAATGAGGAGTTTGTTGTGAACGTTTTGTCAGCTGCTGTGTCGCTGCAGGTCCACGACTTACATCAGCTTCACAGTTACAAGGTGGTGTGTTGTGCATAAGTGAAAGTGAAAATACTTCCTTTCATTAAACGTTTTTCAATAAATTATCAACGTTATTCTTTCATACTAATTTTCTTTATCACAAAAATACACATTTTTTTCCTCAGAATGATAATTACATTGAGACAATTTATTTAATTAATTATTTGACACCTAATCTAAGAGTGAAATAGTTAAATATTAAAGTCAGATTATGTTGTGCGACAATAGAATTTCTACAATGTCATCCCCAATCAGACAATATTTTAAAAAAGAACAGTAAAGTATCTCAATAATTGCACATCTTTTGGATTAAGTCAGGTAAACAAGTTCCAGCAGGAACATGTTTACTTCGATGACAATCTGTTACATCAGACACACCTCTGACCTCATTTTTGTTTGTTTGATTGTTTGTTTGTTTGTTTATTCAAACACCCCACCATCAGTACCTGGGAGGACAGGTCGGCCCACGCTGTCTGTCCTTCATCCTGGACAGTGACAGACTTGACTCCGGACAGAATCACATTCTTGGCTATCTCCACTCCCAGACCTCTCATCCCCGCTATGAGCACGCTGGCTGCCCCCATTCGGTGCATGGCCTCGTGACCCAGAACGTACCTGTGCAGGTAACCGGAAGTAGATCTGTGGGTCAGTTGTCCAAACAGAAAAACGGATCCCTCAGAAAAACAAACGCGTCCAGATTTGTACTTACAGCTGTCGAGAGTAGAAGCTTTCATCGATCTGACCGCTTCCTGACATGTTGCACCAAAACTGCTTCCAAACTGAAGTGTGATCTGAAGACCGGATGAACAGTTTACTAAAAACAGACCGAATCCAGGCCGAACCAGACACAGGAACAGAACGCAAACCGGGTGTGACTGTCAACGGGGTTAGAGTGTGAAACAACGCATTTCACTTTCGTTTCTATTCAATCCTGAAAGGTCGGTTGTTGTGCCAAGAAATAGTTTCCGTTTTGGCCGCTAGAGGGCGCCACAGGACTGTTGAATGGAGATACAACCACAGCTTCTATGGAAATACTAAATATTTTATTGCATTTCCTGCAAGAACTTCAGTTTATTTGTTCTCTCTTTATGCAAAGGTGTAAATGAAATTAAAATAAATGTTAGAATATATTTTCAGATAAGCCTTGTGGGTTCAAGTCCAACCTTTGGACACCACTTTTCAGAGGTTTCCAGTCCCACTAAAAGATGCCTGCTCGATTTGTCAGTCAGTATGCACATGGTTTGACACAAGACGGCTGTTTTCACATTCCTCTTCTAAACCTATCTGACTTTAAAAATAACACAAGCAGGATTTGAGGACTAAATGTTTGGGGGGCCATTTACACAGCTATTCTCAGATTCTCCAGGACTAGATATAGTTACAGTACTATAGATACCTGGGTGTTCACCTCAGCAACAAACTGGACTGGTCACATAACACAGAGGTCCTGTACAGGAAGTCGTCTCCACCTGCTGAGGAGACTGAGGTCCTTTGAAGTGTGCCGGACTCTGCTCAGGACTTTCTATGACACCCTGGTGGCATCTGCTCTTTTCTATGCTGTGGTCTGCTGGAGAGCAGGGAGCACAGACAGGGACAGAAAGAGGCTAAACAGACTGGTGAGGAGGGCTGGTTCTGTCCTGGGCTGCTCCCTGGACTCCATAGAGGAAGTGGCTGAGGGGAGGATGTTAGCAAAGCTCACATCCATCATGGAAAACCCCTCTCACCCACTACATGAGACTGTGGGGGCTTTAAGTGGCTCCTTCAGCAGCAGACTGAGACATCCATCCTGCAAGAAGGAGCAACTGCAGGTCATTCCTACCAACTG